CAGGTGTGCGCCACTATGCCCAGCTAATTTTTTTAAATATATTTTTTGTAGAGATAGGTTTTTGCCACATTGGCCAGGCTGGTCTCAAACTCCTGGCCTCAAGTGATCCGCCTGCCTTGGCCTCCCAAAATGCTGGGATTACAAGCCTGAGCCACTGCATTTGGCTGGCTCATCTAATTTTGACAGGTGTCTTGTCTCCCTCCTTACCTCTGTTCCCAGCTGGCACTTCTACTACAAATGGGATTTCTTCATGTCACAGAAAATGGTCTCCCATCAGCCCAGCTTACATTACTTCAGTGTCGCTGGCCACTCCTGTCTTCCGTAGCTCAGATACAACACGCCTGAGAATGTTCTCACAGGCCCATTTTACATCAGGGGTTCCATCCTTAGACCAGTTACAGCCCAGGAAAATGTGGTTCTCTGATCAGAGAGGATTTCCCCATGGGCTCTGTTTCTAGAAAAAGGAGGGGTACAGAGCAGATAAAACCAGCACAGTCCACTACACCCCCAACCACGAGGGCACATTCATTCAGTCGCAGGTGTCTTCCCCCTGCCTGAAATACTCTCCAAGCCCAACCCACTTGACAAACCTCGGCTTTTAAGACCAAGCCTTCCAGCACACACTTGCTCACACTCATCCCTTAACAGAGTTGAATCCATCCTTTGGGCCACCTTTGCCCCTTGTACATGCCTCAGTTATTTCACTCACTCGCTCACTCACCCACTCCCTCCCTCCTTTGTTAATTTAACAAATGCTGGCCGGGCATAGTGGCTCACGTCTGTAATCCCAGCACTTTGGGAGGCTGAGGCAGGCGGATCACCTGAGGTCAGGAGTTTGAAACTAGCCTGGTCAAAATGGCAAAACCCTGTCTCTCCTGAAAGTACAAAAATTAGCCGGGTGCGGGTGCACGTGCCTGTAATCCCAGCTACTCCAGAGGTTGAGACAGGAGAATTGCCTGAACCCAGGAGGCGGAGACTGCAGTGAGCCAAGATCGCACCATTGCACGCCAGCCTGGGCAACAGAGCCAGACTCTGTCTCTCAAAAAAAAAAAAAAAAAGTGCTTAGGGCACGTTGCACCCAACTCCTGTTGGGTTGTGAGTTTCTTAAAAGCAGGAATCATCCCTGTCATCTTGGGATCTCCAACCTTTGCCAGAGTGCTTGGCCCACTGTCAGGGTTTGGTAACTACTGGACGTCACAACCTTAAATATTGGGGTGACTGCAGGACTTGGCCACCCCCTGGCCAGATGGAGAACCTGGGGTGCTGGGTACAGAGGGAGGAACTGAATGCCACAGGTTGCCCAGCTCAAGTCAGTAATTTCTCTATGGGCATTGTAAATCCATCATACCCTAGACTTTCAAGAAGGACTCTGTGCCTTCTGTAGCAGTGAATGGCAGAATTCAAACTATAACACATGCCTGGTTTGACCTGATGTATTGTGCATGGGAAGTGGTTATTTTTCACATGTTAGATCTGATACTCTTAAGAGGTCATGGCAGCCAACTTGAATTCCCTGTGGTTATGAATTTCTTCGTAGTGTTACTTGTTACCTTGTAAGGCAGCCCTATAAGGGGCAACTCGCTGTCTCCTGGCTACTTTGTCTATCAGTCTAGTTTTTTTCTCTAGGACCACAGGGAAAGTGATCCGTCACCTTTCCAGTGGCCATTTCACATCATGTTCATTCATTTATTCATGTGTTTATATATGCATCTATTAATGCAATCATTCATTTAAAAACAGTTTTAAGGCCTATTTTGTTCAAGACAGTCAAGTCCTCTGTTCCCATTAAGCTGACATCTTTAGAGAACTAGACAGTTAAGCAACTAATCAAACAAACAGGAGAAATAAAATTGTCACAGAGCCATGAATAAAGAAAATAGGGCAAAATGAGGGTTGGGCAAATTTTGATAGAGTAGATAGAACGATGGCTTTGAGGACAAGGCACCTACACACAGTGTGGGAGAAGAGCATCCAGGGAATTGAAGGAAGGGAAGGTGGTGAGTGTGGCTTGCGTGGCAGTGAGGGAGGGGAGAAAGATAGAAAATGAAGATGGAAGCCTGGGCAGGGTGGTTCATGCCTGTAATTCCAACACTTTGGGAACCTGAGGCAGGAGGATCACTTAAGTTCAGAAGTTCAAGACCAGTCTGGGTAACAGCAAAATCTCATCTCTACAAAAAAAAAAAGAAAAAAAATTAGCTGGATGTGGTGGTGCGCCTGTAGTCCTAGCTACTTGGGAGGCTGACATGGGAGGATTGCTTGAGCCCAGGAGTTTGAGGCTGCAGTGAGTGTAATGACGCCACTGCACTGCAGCCTGGGCAACAGAGTGAGACCCTGTCTCAAAAAATAATAATTTTTTAAAAAGAGAAGAAAATGAGGATGGAGTGGCAGGCAGGGGCCAACCCATGTGGGACCCTGTAGCCATGATAAGGTGCTAATGATCTCTTGTCAGAAAGAGAGAAGCCTTTTGAGGGTTTAAAACAGAGGAGTGATGTATAATTTTGCAAGAGCACTTTGAATATGGGATCTTGAGGTAGATTTCCAAATCTGTAAAGACAACGAGGAGCTGCCTGCTACTTTTATTTTGAGGAATCAGAAAGGTTCTGATTTAGAGGTGAGTTTTGGAAGCCCTGGAGAGAGAGAGCACCATAATACCTGGAGCCAGAGTCGAGCATCCCAAAACAAGTCATGGGATTCTCCTCTTGGAAGGTCGTCTTGGAAGGACATCCTCCTTTTCTAGATAGCCAGGTTTGGTATTCTTTGTTTTTCCCATGTCTCTCTTATGAATTCTCAGCAACGGGGGAAAAAATAGGAGGCAAGAGATCTTTCATTATTTCCTCATGGAGAAGGATGTCTTATCCTTCACTGCCACTGCTGTCTGTGATGGAACCCACGCTGCCAGGGCGGAGTGGAAGTCTCATTGTCGAGGGTCATGGACAATGTATTTATGTGTTGTTTTTTAAGATGCACATCCATTAAAAAAAAAAAAAAACAGACAAGCATCTAGTAAAAACATTGCCACACATGATGGATAAAGGGCAGTATCCTTAATACACAGAACTCACCTCAGTAGGAAACCAGAGGCCCTATTTTGTTTTGAATGGAAAAGGATGTGAACAGACTTTTACAGAAAAGAAAATGCAGATGGTTAATAAAAAGTGTTTAATTTCACTAGAATCGGAGAAATGCAAACTCAAACAATAGCAGGATACAGGGTGTCTTTTGAGGGGGAATTCTGTTGTCAAATTGAAAAACAGTATTTTTCAAAAACTGCAGTGCTGGTGAGGCTGTAATGAGATGGACACTCAAAAACAATTTGTGAGATGTACCTTAAAAAGGGGACTTTTTTGGGGTATCTTACAAAAAGCTTATACTCTTTAATCCATTAATCCCACTTCTTAGGATCCATCTTATGAAAATAATTTAAAATAATGGCACTGATTTGTATGTAACATATTGGAAATAGCCTATATGATAGTAGTAAATGATTGGTTGACTTAATTATGATATATCATTCAGTGAACTATTGTGTAGAAATTAAAAATTATATTTTGGAAGATATTTTTGGTAGTAGAGAAAAATATTTATACTATACTATTATGTGGAAAACATTAAAATCAACTAATAGAAAGTATGGAGCAATTATGAATGTGAATGCATACTATATACATTGAAATTGATCATTGGATCAAAAATGTATATACAAAGGTTGTTAGGAGTTTCCTCTGCATTGTAAAATTGTGGGTACTTTGTTTACTTCTTTGTACATGCCAAGGAATTTTTATTTTGTTATGCACAAGGAGTGTGTATTACTTTTAAAATCAGATAAAAATAGCAAATGGTTGTAAGTGCTCCCTATTGCCCCAGCCTGGGCAACATAGCCAGACCCTGTCTCTGCAAAATAGAAAGCAGTAAGTGCACCTTATTGCCTGTCAGGGACACACCCACAGTCTCCCTTCATTCCTTCTTCCATCACTCTGTTGCTGTAATTCCAAGATTCTAACCCTAACCCTAACCACAGAGTGATACGAATACTGTCATACCCTTTTGAATGTCAGCATCATTTCTACAGTGAGACTGATTTTTTGTGTGTGATTTAAAAGTAAGGAATCCAAAAATAGTTTGATCTTTGGCGGTATGAATCAAACAATGTGTGAATCCTCCTGGGGCCCTGTGATGGAGTCAAAAGCATGTGGACTTGGAGCCAGATGACCTGAGTTCAAATGCGGCTCTCCTGCTCCCGAGCTTTGTGATTCGAAAAGTTCATAATTTCCCTGGGCTGCAGTGTTTCCATCTATAAAACAGGGAGATGGTCCAGACCTTTACCCAAGTCTGTTTGTGAGCACTCATCAGGATCCTATCTATAGAGAGACCTAGCAAATAGCCTGGCATGGACTTGGCCATCAAATCCATACTCTTGCTGCTTTCCAGAGGTGGCTACTTGAACAACAAAAAACAAGACGTGTTGGTTGATTTGAGATCTGCAGGAACAAGAGCTGGAGCTGTGAGGCTACACAGACCCGGCCCTACTGCCTCTCTGCAGCGTATCTTTTTGAACGAGTGACTTAGTCTTCCTGAGGCTCAGGGTGCTCGTTTGTGAAATGGGAGTTGATGACAACACTCACCTCCTAGGGCAGTTGTCCTCACCATAGATAATACATACATTCAGTAGAGTGCGTGGTACCTTGCAGAATCTCAGTTGATTCACTGAGTTATTTGATATATTTTTTTCTGGTTGCAAGTGAAATACATATTCAATGTAGGGAATTTAGGAAAGAGCCTTTAAGAGAGAGAGAGAGAGAGAGAACGTGCTTCCAGCCCTTTGACTTGATGGTGGAGTAGCTGTGCCTTTGCACCTAACCGCCCTCATCCCCTACCCTCTCCCCGTTCTGAACTAAGCTGCCGGCCTGCAGTCAGTACTATCATCCCCAGCAAGCTGTGGCCGGACGCCCTGGTGTTTCATCAGTGCCCCAGTGTGGTAACACGGCTCTTGGCTCTCTCAGCAGATCCTTCAAGCCAGACTTCATCCTGGTCCGCCAGCACGCCTACAGCATGGCCCTGGGGGAAGATTACCGCAGCCTGGTCATCGGCCTGCAGTATGGAGGGCTGCCTGCTGTCAACTCTCTCTACTCTGTCTACAACTTCTGCAGCAAGCCCTGGGTGGTAGGTGACAGGGCAGGCTGACCTGGAGGGATCTGGGAGGCAGTGGGTAGCCTCCCACTCTGCGACAAGCCCACTCCCTAGCATGGAGACCTCAGTAGTAAAAATTCTTATTTAAGCAACTATCCTAGGGCTCTTATTAGAATTGTTGCCTAACAATTATATTAATGTTATATTTTATATATTATTATGATAAATATTTATACACCGGGCACGGTGGCTCATGCCTGTAATCCCAGCACACTGGGAGGCCAAGGCAGGCGGATCACCTGAGGTTGGTAGTTGGAGACCAGCCTGACTGACATGGAGAAACCCCATCTCTGCTAAAAATACAAAATTAGCCAGGCGTGGTGGCGCATCCCTGTAATCCCACTGTAATCCCAGCTACTTGGGAGGCTGAGGCAGGAGAATCCCTTGACCCCAGGAGGCAGAGGTTGTAGTGAGCCGAGATCGTGCCGTTGCATTCCAGCCTGGGCAACAATAGCGAAACTCCATCTCAAAAAAAAACTTTATAATAAATACATACATATATATTAATATATACATATTATATATTATACATGTTACATGTAACATATGATATATTACATATATGTAATAATAATTGATCTTTGTAATATATATAATACAGTGATACAATATATACTATTAATATATAACAAAACATGTTATTATATAACAACATATTATGATATAGTGTTACATTATAACATTAGTCATAAAGATGTGCCATATTGTTTTATGAACATTCTATCATTATTGTTGTTAACAGCAGACCCCATTTATTGAGCACTCACTATGTCCCAGAAAACTATGCTACCTGGCACTCATACTGTCATTCTCATGTGAAGTGAATGTCACCCCTTCGTTTTACAGAGACAGAAGCTCAGCTTCAGGCCAGTTAAGGAACTTGCTCAGTGAGTGGTGAGGCCAAAACTTGAGCCATCTATCCCCAACACCCAACATTTAATTTCTCTTCTTTTATTCCTTAGTTTCAGTCATTCATTTCATTTATTTGAGTTTCCATCCAAATGTTACCTATAAGAAAGACCTCTTAAAATACTACTCCTCGGCCCAGCATGATAGCTCATGTATGTAATCCCAGCACTTTGGGAGGCCGAGGCAGGTGGACCACGAAGTCAAGAGATCGAGACCATGCTGGCCAACATGATGAAACACCATCTCTACTAAAAACATAAAAATCAGCTGGGCGTGGTGGCGCATGCCTGTAGTCCCAGCTACTTGGGAGGCTGAGGCAGGAGAATCACTTGAACTTGGGAGGTGAAGGTTGCAGAGAGCCCAGATCGGCCACTGCACTCCAGCCTGGAGACAGAGCAAGACTCTGTCTCAAAAGAGAAAAAAAAAAAAAATACCACTCCTCCACTTGCTCAAGTACTCTCAAATCCCTTACCCTGCTTTATTTTTTTCCTAGATACTTATCTCCACCTAGAATGATAAATTCATCCATTCGTTTGTACATTGTCTGTCTCTATGATTAGAAGTTATTCATTCACGCAACAAATACTTCTTGGGCACTTACTGTGTTTCCGGTACTGTCCTAAGTCCTAGAAACATAGCAGTGAACAGCTCAGACCAAAATCCCTGCCCCGTAGATCTTACATTCTAGTGAGCAGGGGCATGTGTGGTGCTTTAATACATATGCAATATGTCCTGTGATCAGTGACAAGGGGGAAGATCAAGGATGGAAAGAGGATGGGTAATGTGGAAGCTGGGGGGTATGTAGATTGTGCTCTGTGAAGCTCATAGCTGTCTGGTCTGTGGTGTTTTGCTATCTCTCTGTGTGACCACCCGGTGGTGTAGGGTCGTAGTTGAGAGTGTGAGCTCTGAAGCCAGATTCCTAGGTCCGGGCTTCTCCACTTATGAGCTGTGCTACCTTGAGCAACCCCCTTAACCTCTCTGAACTTAGCTTCCTTATTTAGAAAGTGGTGATAGTAATAGAGCCTTCCTGGTAGGGTTATGATTTAATAGATGAAAGTGCTTAGAATGTGGCTGGCACAAAGTACACACTCAATAAATGGTAAAAATTATCACTGCCTTCGGTACTTGAAACAAGTTCCATGTAGAGTTGGGACGCTCAGTACTTACTGAATGGCTACATGCATTAATTTAATAGGTATGGTTAGACTTTACCACTATTGTCATGGCCCTGGTCTCCTTCTCATTCTGCCCTAACTGGGCTTTTTGGCCAATGGCATCCAAGATTTTCAAGTCCCACTGTTAGGAAAGGGTCCTAGATGGTGTTAGCCCTTCCCCACCTTTTTCTGCAGTTACGACGATAGTAGCAACCACCATTCATCAGAACTAACTGTGCACTATCCTGAGCCCTTAACATGCATATTGTGTTTAATTCTCAGCACCCTTATGAGTAGGAGTGCTAATATCTCTATCTTACAGATGAGGAAACTGAGGCTTACATAGCTAGTAGTAAGTGGTAGAGCTAGGCCTCTTCCAAACTCATGTGCTTACCTGTGGAATAACTTTCCCTTTCTGGACTCCAATTTCCTTGTCTGCAAAATGGGGGACCCCACACACACGTATCATTTTCCATATTTCCGAGTTCTCCTAAACCTTCCAAGTTGACCCCCTGTTGTGCTGCATCTGAAGGCCACCCCCCAAGGGTTTGCAAACCAGTCCTGGGCGGATGCAGAAAGTTCCTAGTTACTCTGTTTTCAGTGTCCAGGCTCTTAGTATTGAGTGACCTCCAAGTCAGCTTGGCCACTCCTTTAGCCACTGGGCATCCACATGGGACCACAAATTCCAGTTGATTCCTTTACCTTGTTCAGAATCTGATTTGCTCTTCTCTGCTTATATCCACCAGCAGCTCTCCTTCACCTTCTGGGTGAATTCTAAGCTTTCTGGTCAGGCCTTTAAGGCTGGTGGTCCGTGATGGATCACGCTTTGACCTCGTCTCTCTCATCATCACCTGCAACTGACACCACAGCATGGCAGCTGCAGAGGGTCTCCAGCACACACTAGTCTCAGTGCACACCTGGAGGGCCCTTTCTCCTTCTCTTATGTCGTCTGCTCCAGGGAATCATCCTGACTCCCTACTCTCTCCCCCTTCCAGGTCCCATCACCCACTATGCTTCCCTCCAGCAAGACATTAGTATCACAGCCATGCACCTGCAGCCTGTCTTCCCTCAGCCCTTGCCCCCCATGTTCAGCTTGTTGCTCCGATAATAAAGCATAGTGATAGAGCTCACCTTCGAGCTCTGGAGACAATAGCTAATATCTGGCAAAACAAGCAAGTGTTGAAGCAGGAGGAGAGCAGTGGGAAGGAATGTGGCTTGAGCTGTTGGAAATGAGAGGGGTTGCAACAGCAGAGAAAATATTTATTAATAATAACACCTAGCATTTTAACATTGCTGTGAACAAAGCACTGCCTTTGGCACACTGTATCCTTACAACAATCCCATGAGGTTGGATCTCCAGTTTACAAGTGAAGAAACCAAAGCTCAGAAACCTGAATTGACTTCCCAGGTTATACAGCTAGTAAGTGGCAAAGCAAGAATTAGAACCCAGGGAGGCTGGATCCACATCTAACACCATCAATTACCATGCAAAGCTGCCTCTCTAGAAAGAAGACATTGCAAGCAAGGAGCAGAGCATGAACATCAGCAGGTGGAGAAGGACCTTATGTGAGATGCTGAGGCTGTAGTAAGTGCTCATTAAATATGGTTGAACTGAACCCAGTGTGCTGCCTACTTACTAGGTCTTGGGCAGAAATGGAGGGGTTAACATGGCTGGATGATGGAGAGGATGAATGTCCAGCCAAGGAATCTGGTCTTTATCCTATAGGCAGGGAGCACCTACTGAAGCTCAGCTCAGAACAGTCGATGCTTGAGGCCTCAGATCAAGTGGGAGGTTTTGCCCTACTGGGTAACAATGGTTGATCAACATTCTCTCCTCTTCTATCCTAGTTCTCTCAACTCATTAAGATCTTCCATTCCCTGGGTCCTGAGAAGTTCCCGCTTGTGGAGCAAACATTTTTCCCCAACCATAAGCCAATGGTGAGTGCCCTTTTTTACTCTGTTTCTTTGCGTGATGTGGAGTGAATACAGATGTCTTGTCCTCAGTCCCTTTGGATGAAGGAGGTGGACTCTAGGGGTTGTACACTGACCACGCAGACTCTAAGGCGGAGTCACAGTGTCCTGTGGGAGTGCCTGGATTTCCTAAGGGAAATCATCTCTCCAGGTGAAATTCGGGCAGTAGGGCAAATGACAAAGGTGTACCACATTCCTTGGACCTTGGAGATTTTCCGCAAATCAGGGGACAAGTTCTGGGGGCATGTTGGAGCCAGAGGCTGGTTATAAAGGTAAAAGGTGTTTTCAAGGTGAGATGTTGTTTTACTTGAGCCTTTTGTGGAACCTGATTTCAACTCATATTTTAATAAAAAGCAGTAATATTAATATTTGATTTGCATTGGTGGTTGAAGGGCAGTGTCCTTATATGTCCTCTTCACTTTCCAATTTCTGAATGCACCTGAGCTCTCCTCTGGGAAGCATTTAGGGCTTAGCTCAGAGTATGTGGTACAGCCTCCCATTTGGAGGATACCTGGGTGGAAGAGGTGAATGTCTTTTTGAATGAGGTGAAGGGTTCTCCACCTGAAGCCAGAAAGTGTTGTGGGGAGGAGGTCTGAGCAGCAGGAAAGAGCCTGCAAACATGTCTGCTTGCATAGTTGGTGGTCTTCTTAAACTGGTCAAAGGAATTCAAGGCCGTGACCCTGCACTTGGCCTTGCAAGGAATGAGTCTTTGGGAACAGAATAATGAATAGGGTATCCCATAGTCCCAGCTGGGGACTTACTGTGGCTGTTTGTAGAGTCCAAGCTCAGGCTGCTGGCTAGACAGTCCTGTTTGAAGACACTGATGGTTAGGACTGCAGGTTGCAGGAGGAATCACTCTAACCAAGCAGAATTTTCTATTGATGATCTTTCCCCTATATCTGATCGGGCAAGAGTCACAGAATCCAGAACATGCTGGCTGAGATAAGAAGGGCACATGTGAAACCCAGCATATCCCGAAACCCTGGATTTTCCTTACTGTATGCATCCTTACAGTGGGGAAAATTCAGAGGTCATTATCAGACCAGCCTGAATTTGAATCCCAGTTCTGTCTACACACTAGGTCTCAGGAAAATGACTTTATCTCTGTGAGCCCCAACTTCTTCAGGTAAAAACTGTGGTTGATTGTGGAGCAACCTCATCGAGTAGTCGGGATTTCATGAGATCCTGTGTATAAAGTGCCGTACCTGGCCTATGGTAGGAGTAGCTTTAAAACAAGGGTGAAAACCTGGAACATGATCAGTGGCAGTTTGAAAGTCGGGCGAGGGGTCTGCAGCCAGCCCAGCCCATTGACAGTGACAGGCCCTGCTGTAAACTCTGAAAGGAGGTTGTTATAAGCTCTGGGAAAAGGTCGCCAGCTGTCGTGAGACCTCATGAGTTCCTGGTGTTCCCAACTAGGCCAAGCCATACTTGGAATTTCAAGCAGGCAATTGACATCAAGGACTGCAGTTTGCAGGCCACCCCTCCCCACCTCCACCAGGTTGGGATTCTTAGGAAGAAAACAAGGAGAGCTGAGTGAGGACTCCAGTCTGGGGGTACTTGTACCACCAACAGGTGATTAGGTACAGGTGTATTAATAGATCCAGATTCAGCAGAACTAGGGAGGACTCGAGCAATAGAATCAGGGAGCAAAGTCAAGGCAGGGCACCTCTCCTGAGATTCCTTCTGCAAGGGAAAAGGACTGGAGCGGGGTGGGGCCAGGCCGTAGCAGTGCATGGAGGGAGGGACGTGTCCAGGCCTGGAGCTGGGGACAGACTTCCAAGGCCTGCTGGCGTGTACATAACTCCCCGTGGCGGTCAGAACACAACAAGGCAAGAGACAGCAGATGTGTGATAGAAATAAAACCACTTTACTGTTTAGAATAAAGGACACACTATAAAAAGTGAACATTATGCAACATTACAAGACAATATACATTCACGGAATATAAAATTCATAAATAACATGGAGGAAAACTGTAAACAGTGCTACAAAATTTAGCAACAAATACATTCCTTCTAGACAGGGTTCGAGATCTCTGGTTGGTTTCTCTCCATCACTTCTGGGTTTCAGGACAGCAGACTGGCTAAAGGGAAAGGCGGGTGCTGGGAGAATCTAAGAAGCCCCTACCCCCAAAGCAAAACCTATTTTCCAAGTTCTTCCCTTCCTCTTGCCTCCAAAGAGTCAATTTGGAAGTTGTTATCACATCCACCTCCCCTACTTTCCCCCATTTCGTTTTGCTTTTGCCGTCAGATTTTTATAATGTTTCTCTCTGATAAAAATACTCTAGTGACATGTTTACCTTAGGTAGCCAGAAGCCATCTTGGGGTAGTCCAGACTGTCAGCTGTCACGTGCAAGACAGAGGTCTGGGGCACGGAAGGGTAGTGTCTCCTGCAGGCCACAGTTTCCCCTAGACAGGGCTATTACAAAAAGTCATGTTTCTTTAATTGTTCAAGAACCATGTTGCCACCATGAGGCTGGTCTGGAACTAGGGGAGGGTAAAAGACAGGAGCCTCGGTATTACCTACCCTGGACAGAGCAGAGCACTGGCCTGAGAGCTGAGAGCCTGGGCGTGGAGCTTCGATTGGCAGGCAGAAGAGATGCCCAAAGGAGGCAGCGAGAACTTGGAATTGTATCTCCTGTGGCCCTGGATTCTTAGAAAAATCATGGCTTCCCAACTGGAAGGGCAACAGGACTTGGGGTGAAGTAAATGGTAGACTGCCCAGGGCCGGGTGACACAGAACAAGAACATGAATGTACTTTAAACATTTTTCCTACTCCAGGAACAATTGGGATTCCAATAGGGAGGAGGCTGGAGGAGTCTCAGTTACTAGTTCCTTCTAGTTCCCCCAATTCACCAGTCTAGCTGCTTGCCTAGAAGTATTTTCCTCTCCATTCCACTGTAGAATTTGATTCAGGAAAATGGCGGCATGTGGGTTTCATTTTTTTTTTCTCTTAAACACAATGTACACATATTACAGCCTACACATGACACAAGATTTAGCAAAATAAAATGTTCACGATATGATTGAAATACAGAAGTGTCTCAGCTACATAAATGACTTTAAATTATACAGTAAGTGAACGGGTGAAATAAAAAAGCTATAGCTTATAGAAAGCTCAAAACCGCCCTCTGACATCGCTTTGCAAAAGACCCTTCTTTGCCCAGGGCCTCCTCACCAAAGCCTAACAGATGGAGCTGTGGTTCTGCTAATTTATCGACTCTGCAGGGAAACGTCAGGTGCCTCACGCTCAGCCTTCACCCAAGTTCCTCCTTGTGTGAGAGGGGCTGACCACCCCAGGGAGTGTGAATGGCCAGATGCCCCACAGAGAAGACACTGATGTCCCGTCATGGGAGGGAGCTTGTGTAGGTTAGTCAGGGGCCCCACCATGCGAGACCTTGAGGTGAAGATAAGGACAATCCCAAAACATCAAGTCTGGGCTCATCCCTTCAAAACCACTGACCTGCCGGCCTCAGCTTCTTCTGCTCACACTACCTCTGCCTCACAGAGAAGGCCAAGCCTCCCATTCTCCCCCTGCCAAATGGCATGACCGCAGAGGGAAAGGTACATGGTAATGAAACTGATCCCAAGGAAACCCGATGCCTGTACTGCCTTCCCGCTCTGGGGTTCTGCCAAGCACCTTGCCTGGGCACTTGTGTGTGTGCAAGACACTACAATGTGTTGTCTGCTGCTTTTTTTTTTTTCTTCTCCTGTTTCAATTGGCAGCTCTGTTTCCTAAAGTGGAATGAACTGAAGATACAAACACTAATAGAAGATAAATACCCATAAGCTGAAAACAGACAGAGAGCAATCATGTTCAATGTCACCATCCTACCACCCCCCGCCCGTAAAATATACATTATCACCTAGTCTCAGCATCTCACTTTTGACACTAAAACTTAAAATAATTTTATTTAATAGGAGAATTTATATTATAGTTTTATTTAAAAAAAAAAACCAAACACAACAGAAACCCTACAACTGGTTGCAAACTCAGGCTTTCCCCAGTGACCAACAATTTTAATTCCAAGAGGTGAGGATCTCAGGAGGTGGCATTCACCCACCGGGAAGCTAGGGAAAGGGGACCAAGCTGTCTCCACACCCAGGAGAGGTGTCCCTCCAGCCGAGGCAGGACGCTGCAGCTCTCCCTCCTGTGCCCAGGCCCGTGACTACACTCTCATCTGCCATCTGAGCCAAGCCAGGAAGGCAGTTAAAAGGAAGGCCCCCAAACATGAAGCAGAGAAAAGGAGACAGACAGGGGTCAGATGACCTGTGATAGGGAAGAGAGGGTGCTGACGGTGTTCAGAATTTCAAATTTTAATTAAAATGAAAAAAAAAAAAAATGTCAACTTGGAATGTCATGATTTTCTTCAAACAAGCAACGACAACAAAATAGAAGAGATTAAACTATTGGCATATTTAACAGCATTGAACAGAATTCTGTGTCCTGTAAAAAAATTAGCTTATGTCCCCATGTGGGTATATGCAAATGTGTATACAAACATATCCCCCTAGGTGAGCTAAACACTATTCTGGAAATAGTATCCTCTACCCAAATCTACTTGGCTATATCTGTGGATAGTGTAAGATGTGTGTATTTCACCAATTTACATAAAAGCAAGCTCCCGGCCAAATCTACCAAAGAGTTTTCCAGGAGGAAATCTGGTGGGAGGAAGGGAGAGGAAAGACATTCATCTCAGTCTTTCACCTGAGCTTTTGTACAAGGCAGGCAAATTGCCTCCTGACCTCAGGCAGATGTTTAAGTCTTCACCAACTAAGAAAGCTCTGTTATTCTGGCCTGGGTGCTTGCTCCAGACTCAGGAACATCTGGTCAATGCAAGCATCACTGGGCTGGGGAACTGCGTGTGTGCTGCGTCATCTCCGACTCTCTTGTAGTTCCTTCCTTCCCTCCCTCACTCTTACATGCAGACACAGACAGACAGTCTGGTTGGGACATGCAGTGGCAGCTCCTGGTGTGTAAGATCTTTCACACACCTCGAGTCTATCTGCTTGCTGCCTTTGACTGATCCTGAAATGGTTGGCCTTTCAGCCACTTCCTTGTCTGTGTCCTTTATGTATTGGAGGAGAAGGACAAAGGGAAGAGGGTCTGGGAGATGGTGAGGTGGGGAAGAAGCAAGAGGGGTGGGAATTATAATCCCCAACTGGAGTAGTTTTTCATTTTTGTTTTCCTAAAAAAATAGAGATTATATTATCACGAAGAAGAGGAATACAGGTTCCTCATTCTTTCTGGCATGGCACCAGAAATTCCCAGGTGGAAATGAGTGATGTCAAAACCAAAAAGAAGGGGCAGGGTGGGGCCAGGAGGATAGTTCCCAGTAAACCCCATATGATAGCATAGACCTTTCTTTAAGTGTTCCAAGTGCTAAATTTGCAAGAAAACAGGCACTAATTTCATTGTCATCATCTGGGAAGAGTTAGTGTCCGAGGGAAGCTCAGCGGGAAGGGAGGGAAGTGAGGTGGGGCAGGGTCTGGCGTTCAGGGGTCTGTGGCATTGATGATGCTTTTGTCCGGGGGGGCCCATCCTCGGTACCAGCTGCAGTAGCCGCCCTTCTGCCGGATGCAGGCATAGTGTTTGGACTGGTAGCCAGGGTAGCCGAAATTGGAGAGCATGTCGGTCCAGAGACACTCGTTCTTGGAAGTAACAAAGCAAGGCAGGTAGTAGCAGGACTTGATCTGCAATTAGATAACAGGCAGCAGTTGATGGAATCTGCCATGGTATGCCCAGGCCTGAGGCTGGATTCAGACCCTGGGGCCACTGCAGGGGAAGCCTAGCCATGTCAGTCTGTCAGTGATAATAATATAAATAGCACTAGCGAACATTTGTTGAGCACCTACTATCTCACAGACATTCTGATAAGTGCTTTGATAGTATTTTCTTTAATTCTTATCACAGTTTTATCTCCCTTTTTACAGATAAAGAAATAGACATTCTGATAAGTGCTTTGATAGTATTCTCTTTAATTCTCATCACAGTTTTATCTCCCTTTTTACAGATAAAGAAATAGGAGGCTCGGAGAGGTTAAGTAACTTGCTGCAGGTCACACAGCCAGTAAGTAGCAGAATTAGACCATTGAGAGGGCTTTTTCATCTCAGATAGATAGGAGATCTCAGTTGTTTTAGGAAATTGAGGAATTAAAAAGGTTACAGTATAAACTTTGGAGTCTAGCTGCCCTAGGTTGGAAACCAGATTCAGTGAACTGTGGGATCTAGGGCTAGTTACTTAAGTTCTCTGAGCTCTCATCTGCAGAATGGAGATCATAGTAATTAAAACCACACAGGATTGTTTTGAAGATGAAATGAGAGAATGGCCCAACTTCCCACAACAGCAGGAAGGCTGTACCTTGGCCCTATACTTGGGTCAGGGGGATGGGCTTGGTTGAAGAAAGACTTTCTGTAGCATCTGGTCTCTGTAGTCCTGGGCCCATTTGCCCACCTGACTTATGAGTCAGCTACCAGGGTGAGCCCACTTGAAACCACTTGGCAGAACCTGCCACTGTCAGGATCCTATACCTACAGCCCTGAACTGCCAGGTGGGGCCAGGGACTCAAGAGCCCTCATGCCCCAGCAGCTTGCAAGTGGTCATCATGGAGGCAGCCCATTACAGCAGAAAGGCATTCTTCCTTCCCTGCCTTCCTCACTGCCCCACCTGGGGCAACATTCCTTACTGTGTCTGCTCAGACCTGCCCCTCTGCCCTGGCCTAACACATGCACACCCTTCCCAGCACGAGGGCCTCGCTCCCAATGCATTGGGAGCTGATGTTTCTAGGGCTGCAAGTCAGCACCTCCCCTCCTTCCCCCAGTGACCCCAGGGCTTACCTTGCAGTTACAACCCAGGTGATACCGATAGTTCAGCCCCTTGCGCTGGGAGAGGGTGAGCTGGTCCCACCTCTCCACAAAGTTGCACAGCCCTGTGTACATCTTGCCATCGTAGACGCGACCTACAGGAGGAAAGAAGAAAACAAGGAGAGGGTTGTTTTGTCCAGAGCCCAGCCCAGAAAGAATTCACACCTACTATGTTCCCACTTAGCCCAGGCACTGTGGCTGGGTACTTTTCAGACCCATGATTTTATTTCACCCTCCCCAACACCTTTCAAAATGGACTGTAGCGCCATTTTTCCAGATGAGGATAATGAGGCTTGGAGAGGTAAAGTGATTTGCCAAAGGTCCCAAGCCCATTAAATACTGGAGCTAGGACTAGAGGCCAACTTTTCACTCCCTTTATAACGATTTGTGTTTTTGTTTTCTCCTTTACTACCTTGACTGCCTAAAGATGAATAACTTTCAAAGGCAGGCCTAACAGGTTGAGTGTGAGGTAGAGAGGAACACACACTCCCTTTTTATTTACAGTAAAGTTGAGAAGCTACAAATTAGGAGATTTGCCTCACAAGGTGAGTGGTGGAGCTAATTCCAGAGTTGAGCCTAAGTGTAGGAGCCTCAAGCTCTTAGCACTGGGTAAGTAGGATGAATTCAACATTAGAGACTCCTTACGATTTACTGGACATTTGGTGAGTCAGCTACTCATTGTGTGTTCTTCTGAAGTCAAGAAACAGTGGACCTTAGAAGCTAGAGTTGGCCATTACCTGTCAGCAGGTACTGGTACTTGTTGACCTCCAGCTTAAGGCCACAGAGACTCTCGGAAGCTTCCGTGTGGATGTACTGCACGTGGGGCATCTTGGTGAAGCCTCGGTACATCTGTGGGCAAAAGGAACATCATGACTTCTTCCTTTCCAATTTGGACACCCGTATGATCCATAATCCCACTGCTGGGTATATAGCCAAAGGAAAGGAAGTCAGAATATGGAAGAAGGGTCTGTACTATCATGTTTACTGCAGCAATATTCACAACAGCCAAGATATGAAATTAACCTAAGTGCCCATCAGCAGATGAATGGAAAAACAAAACCTGGTATCTATACCCAACGGAATATGATTCATCCAGAAAAAAGCATGAAATCTTGTCATGTGTGGCAGCGCAACTGGAACTGGAGGTCATTTTGCTAAGTGAAATAAGCCAGGCACAGAAACACAAATATACCGTGTTCTCACTCATATATGGGAGCTAAGAAAGTAAATCTCATGAAGATAGACAGCGGATTTGGTGGTTACCAGAAGCAGGAAAGGTAATAGGGATTGGGGGAAAGAGATGTAATTAATGGGTACAAAAATACGAGTAGGCAGAAGAAGTAAGACCCAGTGTTCATTAAATCAGTAGAATGACTACAGTAAACATTAACTTATTGTATATCTCAAAATAGCTAGTAGAGGATAATTCAAATGTTCCCTGCATAAAGAAATGATAAATGTTTAAGGTTATGAACATCCCTGATTACTGTACATTTTTGAATATATCAAAATACCACATGGACTCCCAAAATATGTACATTTATTATGTATCAATAAAATAAAAGGAACCCAGGAGAGGAGGCTCAGCACCCAGAAGGCTTGCTGACATTGGATCTGAGGGAATCTCGCTCCCCTATTCGGCTGTCCAGTGGCCTGTCACTGATCTACCCACCCAGGGCCCCCTTCACCCCAGATGAAGCCACCGATCCTCTTGTCTAGCCTTCCTGGTGCCTTCCCAGGTTGGTGCCTTCCCAAAGAAACCTTCCTGTGCAGCCATCCACACCCCCCATTCCAACTGGCCCACAACACTCCTTCAGCTACACGTCTCACATCCCAGCACCTTTTCAGAAATCCAGAGAAGTAGCTGTGACAAGGGTACTTTTTCTTTGTCAACCTCAGGACCTGAGTCCCATGAATTCAGCCAGCATTCTCATGCTATCTCTGTGACACTCTCCAGCCCACAAAAACATTCTCACTCACATTCCCCTTGCAGTATCCTTAAAAGAGCCCTGGGAGGGATGTATTACAAACTCCACTTTATAGAAATTCTGTTTGGCTGGTGAATGTTGAATTCAGGTTAGAAATTCTCCATGTTTTTTATTCTTCTGAGCGTCTGATGAAAGCATTGGGATCCTTTATCCCAGATGAAGCACATAAACATATCTACAAAGTTCAAAGATTTTTAACTGTTGAACACTTTATTATAATTATTAGATTGAACCACATGAAATTGCTGATATTTGGCTATTTGTATCTACGACATAATCTAATACAGTGGTTCTCAACTGGAGGCAATTTTGCCCCCCTAGGAAATATTTGGGACATTTGGCAATGTCTGGAGACATTTTTGGTTGTCACAACAGTTAGTAGAGGGTAGGGAGGTTGCTAAACATCCCACAGTACTCAGGACAGCCCCAGAACAAAAAATTATCTGGCCCCAAATGTCAGTGATACTGAGGTTGAGAAATCTCCTTTAATATTAGCCCGCGAATCACCGTGACAACCCTATGAGGTAGAAACTAGTATGCCCATTTTATAGATGAGGAGCCTGAGTCACGGGCAGGCTAAGTAGCTTGTTAAGGCCACATAGTTGGGAAATGGCAGAGCTAGGATTCCAAGCAGGGGAATTTGCCTTCAGAGTCCATACTCTTACCCATTATCTTAGACTGGCTCCCAGGAAGCCTCAGAAGCCTATGACCAAGGTCCCCAGAAGCAGGCAAATGCTATTTCCATTTATGGCCACTGTGCCTCCTTCATCAGTGTGTGCTCAGAGTCACTGGGGTGACTGAATGCAACAGAAGCTGAGTCCTCTTTGTGATTCCAGGTCAAGTCCAGGAGTATTATACAGGCCCAGTGTGCCAAGGCGATGCTGTGAACTGTGGGATCTGGTAAGGGTGGGGTGGGGCACTAAGGTGTTGCAGAATTCTGTTATCCCCTCAGTTCTCAGAGTACACAAGCCCTGGACCGCTGGTGGTCTCTGGGCTTGTCCCAAGGGTTTATAATAGGAAAATGCCTCTACTTTACTTCCTGGCATGTGTTATTAATTTACTTACAGTAATTAATACAAAACCAGACATCACTTCGTTGGTGTCTCTTCCAAATGCCTCCCATTTGGCCTGTGAACTGCCGTTTTCTCATCTTTTAAGTGGTGACTGGTTGGCGGGGGTAGGTGGTCCACAAGACCTTCACGGCATAACTTGGTCTGTTGGACCTACTGAGTTTGGGCGCCCCTGCCTTGTTAAAAGCGCACATTGTTCTGATGGACTCAGATGGTCTTCCTTCTGAACACCTCTTTTCCCCCAAGGCTTGCCAACTGAGCACAGACACGCAGCCAAGTGCTGGAAGAAATGCCCTCTGCACTCAGCATTCAATTATGCGGGGGGGGGGGCGCGGGGTGGGTAGAGTCACGATGATGACTTCTTCTACGTGAATGGTGCCTCTCTAGCCTTAACAGGAACCATGTTTAAGTGTGCTGCTGTATGCCTGCCATGGAGTGTGGCCTTCGAAGAACATCCCCTACCCTGACTTCTGTGCCGAGCAACTTCTTATTTTTGTGTGGGTGTTCCTTGAGGTTTTGGCAAATGTTTCAACTAAGCACTCGCTCTAGGTCTTTTGGACCCAGCCCATGGGAACCTCATTCCTTCTGCGTCAGTCTTTCCCCTTCACTGCCCTAGTGCTTCGTGAGTGAGAGAATGAAGCCCCTGGTTACAGTCTGGTCACTTGAACTGCTCAGTAAGAACTAAACTCATCGAAATCAGCTTGGCATTGCAGCTACTTGGAAGTTTGAAGGAACCTGCATTTTAACTCCTAGCACTTGCCTAGAGTTGAAATTCTGATACATTACAAATGACTGGCTGTGACAAACATAGTGCTGTGTTTTAGGTTCAATTCTGAAAAGAACAACATGGCAAAGGTAAATTCTACTCAGTTGTGTTTTCCGTATAATAATCCTACCTTGATTTAAATATTGATTCTAAAAGTATCATGTCTGTAATCGTAGAGATCTAGAACTGACTTGACAAATTTAGGAGAGTCATAATAGATTTATAATGTCCTGACATCAGAGAATCCTAGAATCTCAGAGTTGGAAAAGATGTTAAAGGTAATCTAATCCAAACCAATGCCATGGAGATCAGTGGTAAATTCAGGTTTTGGAGGCTGAAAGCCAGAGGTTGAATCTTGAATCTTCTCTGCCACCTATTCGCCACTTGAAAAGTTACTTAACCTCTTTGGGCCTCAGTTTTTTCATCTGTAAAAATGGGTCAAAGCACTTACTTCTTAGGGTGTTTGAGAGAAGCAAATGACTTAGAATAGCAGTCAGCCCACAACATTCAATAAAATTTAGCTTAGAACAAGTTATACTGAAATTCGTAAGGAGAGGAGGAACGAGTTTGATCCCCTTCCTCCTAAGTCCCTTCCTCAGCTCTTAACAAGAGTAGTTAAAGCTGGTTTAGAACTTCAGACATAAGTGGGTTGTTCTTTTTTGGCTGGGTTCTGCATGCCTCTAGGCCCCTCTTCTTGGTAGCATCTACACAAGTAGCGTCTATGCAAAGTTCCAAGATGTTAGCTTCCCTTGGAGAGAAGGGACAAATAAAGTAAAAAAGAAGTTTCTGAGTCTGGGGACATTTGCACATTTCTGATGAAATGTCTGGCCTTCACTCTACATTGACAGCATGAGTTGCTACAATGATGCCAACTATGTCTTGCATGCCTACCAGAGATCAACACTGTTCTGGATGCTGGCGTACGTACATCATGGACTCATTTAAACCCACAACTTCTTATTTACAGACCGACCAAGCTATCGGGGGCATGATCTTTCTCTACACAGCAATTTGTCTAGCAGGACAGGCAGAGAATGTGGAAATGGAGCCAGTCTCTGCAGAGGGCTGGATGAGAGTCCTAAGCCAGGAAGAGCCACAGGCATTGCAAGAAGAATGGTTCCCTGTGGGCTGGGGGTCAAAGATGCTTCCAGCTGGAGCTTCAAAGGCAAGACCCTGCTATTGCTCATTTGGTTAGACAAACCACTAAAGGAAGGAAGTCCCCGGAGGTCTGCTCTGCCTACAGTCAGGACATGCAAAGCACATGACCAGCGGGGCTCCCCATGGGACCCTCCCAGGACCAGCTGGGACATAATGTCCCCCACGTTCTGTCCCCTGCAGCCAGCCAGAGAGCATGTCTCCACTACACAAACAATAACTCCTAGCACAGTGGATCAGTTTCTCATGATCCTGATGGGAGATAAAGTCCCCACAGCTTAGAGCAGCCAGTTCTGGAAACTTTCACCTTCACCCCACAGCCCAGGGCCTCAGCCCCAGCTAATTTCCAAGTTTGGGATTGCAATAAGCTCTCTCAACATTCTAACACGCTTGCTCCCTCTCTCTCTCTCTCACACACACACACACACACACACACATCGCAGGTCTCTGCGTACTGAAGTGTTCCTGAGAGACGGGTCAGAGGCTCCAGAGTTAGCAGACGGGAGAAGGTCTGCCTGCCCTTCATCAGTGAGAGTAGAGAGGGGTCAGACAGGGCGGCTCCGAGTCTCAGGTTCTCCCAGTTCCTTTAGTCCTGCTCTGAGGGAGCCCTTGCTCACCCCTCTGACTCTCTAGGGTAGACTCTCTAATCCGCTAGAACAAAGCCTCCCAGGGACCAGTGCCAAACTCATGCAGGCTTGCCTCTCTGGCCTCCCCCTTCCCTCCTACAAAGATTTTTCTGATACATCCTTTGCAGGATATTATAAGTCCAGCCCTACACTGCTGGATGATAAACCAACAAACCCAAGCTGACTTCTTTTTGTTTCCCTGGGAACTAAATACATATGGAGTAGGCATTTATATCCCCCAAAGCAGGTAGGAATGATGAATCAGCCTGCTGCTCCATACTGTATTATCTCCTTATAGGCAAAGACCCTATAGTTTTACTCAGGTTTGCCACTTTGTAGCTGTGTGATCTTAACTGTTATATGACCTCCCAGGTCTCAGTTGCCTCACCTGTCAAACAGAGGACAAGGTGTTATTTATTTTACAGTGTTAGTATAAGGACTGATCTATGCAAAGACCTAGCAGAATGCCTGGTACAAAGCAACTGCTCAGTAAATGTTACTGATGCAGAGTCTTATAATTGTAAGCAGTGTTTTATCTTTGTATCCCCAGCTCATAGCACAGTACTAAGCACAGAGAGAGGGTGGGAGGGAAGCATGAGAGGATGGATGGATGGACTATTACTTCTACTTCTAGCCTGTGTCTTCTCTGACTTGCAAGCTGGTACCTAGAGACAAGCAGATTCCAGTGGCATCCCTGGATAGAAGGGCACTGACCAGTTCTATGGATCATGATACCCAGCTGTGGGAGGGTCAGAGTGAATAAAAGCCATGAGATGGTGACTGATGATTAAAGTAAGATGGCAGGGAGATTTGGGAGTCACATAAAGAACACAGGATTGGGAAGAAATTCCGATGCCTCAGCTTGGGGATCAGATCTGCCCCTTAATTAAATGCTTGACTCTGGGTAAGTCATTTCCCCTTTGCGCCTCTGTCAGAAGTGAGACGAGGGACTTTACGTCTAATTCCAGCAACATGATTCATGAGCTCAGATGAAGGATGGTGAACAGAAAGCCTAAGCCCACCAGACTGGGAGTGGGAGTGTGTCTTCTGAAACTGATGGGCTAGCAAATGTTTGGTCTCTAGACAGACCCCCGTGGCTGGTCTGACACCAGCAAGGGGAAATGGGACATTCTGCCCACAGGAAGGGCCTCTGGTCACCCTGGTCTCCAGGCCCTGATGGTAGGAAGGAAAGCAGGCAGGCTTAGGAATTGCCGCCTCCCAGCTATTTCCCTCTCAGCTCTCTGCTGACCACCAAGTGTCTCGTAATGAGGATTGTTCCAGACCAGGCAGGTTCATGTGTTCTCTGAACCTCTGCTTTGGTCTAATATGCTTTGGCATTCCTGCGCTGACTGCCAGAGGTTGCAAAGTGGATTTTTTGGGTTGTTGTTGCTCTTGCTGGTTCCCCACCCCCGCCCATTCTTCTCTCCCCAGGGCTGTCTGAAGACATAAGCTGGTCTCATGACCAAGCTTAGGCAGCCAAGGGCAACTGGCCAGGGCTGACTCTGGACATTACATAACCAGAAGGCTGTGGATGTTTGCAAAATTGAATCCAAAGCAACAGGTTCCACAAAATTAGTACATCCAGCCACAGGCCTCAGGACACAGGACTAAGGAAGCCTGGAGGTTGGCATCGGGGATGGTTGGGTACCACCATGGGCTGTGTCACTGCCCCACTCCCTTCTACCTGGACATTGTGGCTTGTCTCCTCCGGGGAGTTTCCAGGCCTATGGGGTCTCACCCTCATGCCCATATTAGATGGGTAAACATTCACCAAGTCACTTTTGCATGCCAGGTCCTACCCTAATTGCTACAGATGCAAATATGAGCAATAAGTTAAAGGGCTGGACAGTTCCTGTGAACCTCAGCACACCCCACATTGAACTTCTGATGAGTCACACACATACATGCCTCTTCTCTCCCAACCTGACTCTAGCTCCTAAAGATGGAAACTGTATCTCCCTCACGGCTTCCGTGGCTCCTGGATGGGAGCTCTGCATGTAGAGAGGTGCTTACAAATATAGGGTGATGAACCAGTTGCTGAGTTATTCAAGGTGAAGCCCCAGTCTTCTGTGCTAAGGCAATCACCAGTACACCCTTCCATTGTATACCACCCACTCCTCCTTACAAGTAACACGGCCCGCATCCCAGGATGCTTAGAATGCCTGAGCTAGAGAGGATGTTAGGAGCACTAAGCCTGACCCCACAGTGTTAACAGGTGGGAAAACTGCGGCCCAGGAAAAGGGACAAGCCGAAGGTAAGCAGGCTATTTAGGAGTAGAGCTGAGACTAGGAGCAGGTTCTCTAGATTTCAAATCTGGTGTTCTTTTTCTTAAGGCGTACCTCCTTCCTGTGCTTCCTGATGTTCATATCCTCAGTAATATGTTTAATGATAAGAATATGTTTAGCAAGCATTGCTAACTATCTAGGATGCAAGAAGACCATCAGCTGGGAAAATAGGGAAAGAAGATGAAGTTCCTGCCTCGGGATGAGGTTCCTGTGATCAGCACAGTTTCCGTGTAAACATTTGAGTTAAGCTGTAACCTCAGTGGCCAAATGAGACCTGTAAGCACTGTGGAATCCCAGATAGTCAGAGCTCGGAAGAGTCCATTGAGATGATCTAGTCCAACCCCCTCATTTCACAATTGGGAAGATTAAAGCCCAGAGAGGGGCAGTGACTTGACCAAGGTCTCATGGTTACCAGCTAACAAGGCTATCTGCCATCTGGCTCCAGAGCTCAGCCTCCTAACAAGTGCCTTGGAGTGACTCCACCTGCATGGGCTCTTGGACGAGGCAGCCCCATGCCCCCTCCCTACCCATCCCTTTCTGCTGCCTTAGCAGCTCCCTCTCCAGCAGGCACAAGGGCTGGGTCTGGCTGGTGCTTAGACACACACCCCAGTTCCAACCCATTTTGCCTCCCTCAGCCAGGACTCTTCTGGCAAAAACCCAGAAACCTTCCTGGAGCCAGACTGATGACATTACCTACCTTCATCTGCTTGATGGTGTAGACCAGCGTGCCGAAGGGCCCCTCCTTTACCAGCTTCTTCCCCACCACCTTGGCCCGGATCACTGCAGAGACAGCAAGGAGGAGACAATAAGAGGTTAGGAAGGCCTGAACCACATCAGGAACAGCATCTCAGGGCGGGCATGTTAGCCTCCGTGGAGCCTGGAATTGCTTTCTTACCTTGGAGCCAACTGGAATAGATGATTGTGTTTATAAGAGTGGGAATTCCCTGGGGTGAGAGGGAGGTTGGAGGAAAAAGAAGCAGCCACCATTCAAGTTAATTACCCCACATGTTCACAACTGCCAGCTCCAGAACTTCCTAGGCTATAGTCATCCCTTGGCCCCGCCCTGACCCTGGGGATTTTCTTGACTTTGTGACTTCACCATAATCTAAAATCTACTTCTCCTGTTAGAGCCGTTGTCCCCCCTTCCTTGTCCACCTGACAATGCCATGGTCTCCCAGAGCTGTTCTTTTTCCACTAGGACTCCTTTCTAACCACTTCGTTTGGGGCTCTTCCTTTGCATGCATTAATTCGCCACATCTTGATATGTCCACAGGGTTGTGGTGCACCCCAGCCTCCCACAGTGCCCCCAGTTAGCATGCTGGTTGAGCCCTTGGTATCCAGTGCTTAGATAGCAAGGGATGCAATAGAGTCTGAGCTCTGTGGGGATGTGGTAAAGAAGGAGCAATTGGGAGTGGGGGCTCAGGAGCCAGACAGACCTGTTCCAATCTCAGCTTTGCTGTTTATGGCTATTGGGACTGTAGGCAAGTAAATGACTTTGTTTCTGGCCTCATCTTCTATAAAACAGGAATCGTAATGATACCAATCTCCTGAACTGAAGGGATTAGTCAAGATGATGAATTTGACACCGTCTTGAACATAGTTTGCACTAGACAAATGTTATTAATATAATCATCATCATTATCATCACCAAAAATGAAATGGGCTAACCATGGAAGGACTGCTCCAATGAAAACAGCTCCCATTTATTGCACACCCACTATGTGCCATGTACATTTCACTTATTTACTTCTCTTAACTGCCTTACAAGGGCAATATTAGCATCCACATTATCTAGATAAGGAAACTGACCAAGAAGTGAAACCACTTCCTCTTTCTGAGCCTCAATTTTCTCATCTATAAAGAGGGTGTAACTCTCCTTACATCAGGGAATTGGAATCAGGATTGAACAAAAAATCTTATGAAATTTCCCACTACAATGTCTGGCAGAAAGGAGTTACCCAGTAGATATTAGTTCACTATGAGTACAAAAGTAATTACACCCAGTGGGTCGAGGGCTGAAAGAGAGGCATTTACCACATACCCTGGGAACACAAAGAATAGAGGACTTGACTTTTAGATTCTACAAGGTTGTGCTTTTCTTTCTGCTTTGTGTGAAAAAGAAGCACCCAAGAGCTGTCTACAGGTATTTGTAAAATCGGCACATGGAGGAGCAAATGGACAGGTCTTGAATACAAAAACTGGAAATTGCTGAGAGTAACATTCGTTGGCTCAATCAAAGGAAAAAAATCATCTAATAATAAGAACCAGCAACAAAAGGCAGGGGGGCTGCCATCAGGGCAGGGAGTGCCTCTGTCAGGGGTTACGATGGGGGTGCTGGATACTTCCATGCTGAGACCTCAACAGGAATTTGGAATGGGGCTTGCTTATGCAGTCATACTTTGAATTACAAATTGAACTCTTTCAGCCCTGAGATCCTATCGTTCTTTCTTACCTCAAGTTGCACTTAGCCCCAAAAGGAGTAGATACTCAATAAATGCTTAAGTAAAATACCCTACACACACACACAACACACACACACATATTCTGGTAGCTCCATTATCCTTCCTCATTGTGGATGCTCCACTATGTATCCCAGTTCTTTGACTCCAGTCTGTTTTTAAAAAAATCTTTACTAAGAACTGATTCTTCATCCCTACTGGATTCTGTCTTGTTTCTTTCCAAATGAGCTTGGATCCTACCCTTCCAGTCAGACATCAAGTCAGGGTTCAGATGAATCAATGGCCCCTTCAGACCTTCCCTGCCAGGGATGGCAATACACAGAGTCATTGGCAAAGTGAGCAATTTAGTGGAGGCAGCTCAAATTAGGAGGAGGTGAGTGGTTGTTTCCAAGTCTGCTGTAAAAACGGGAGGTTGGCAAGATCCCAGGCCAATGTCTCTCAAGATCCTGCATCCACCTCTGTTTCTAACATTGCGGTAGCATTCTCGGCAACAAGCCAGCCTCCCGGAGGCCCTGGGGACTGTTTCCTCCATATTAACTCTCACAGGCAGGTTATAACGGCTTCACCTCCTGGCAGAGGCATGTCTGCCAGCCTTTACCACTGATTCTTCCTGAAGTGATTTGGACCCATCTTCTCTGCTTCATTAACACAGAAGGTAAACAAGGGAGTGAGTCTTGGCCGGGGAGGGGTGGGAGGGGCAAGGCAAAAGGGATTCCTTTAAATAGCAACATCCTGGTTCCAAAATGGCTTGACTTGATTTAGACAGAGGATGTCACAAGCAGACCTGCCCTATAAAGCTAGGTACTGCTGGAAGCTTCTGCACATACAACCAGCCAACTCCTTCCTTACCCCAAACGGCCTGAGCTTGGAACCTTTTCATCTGAGGATAGTTTAGTGAAAAGGATACACTTTCGTAGTGAGGAAGCTGCATTGGAGTTTGGGTTCCACCATTACTGTTTGATCTCTCTGGGGCTCTTTCCTCCTAAATCTCTCTGGCTTTCTTAGCCCAGTGCCTCTCATGTGGCTTACAAGTGACTTGCTTGTTACGATTGGACCAGCAACATAGCATTGCATTAAAGAGCCTGGTCTCTGGAGCCTGATAGCCAGGGTTCAAATCCCAGCCTTGCTGCGGGGTGACCTTCAGAAAGTTGCTAAACCTCTCTATGCCTTGGTTTCCTATCTGTAAGATGGAAATGATGACAACAATGCCTCATAAAGTTGCTGTGAGGGTCGTATTAATACAAGCACCGAGAACAGTGTGTAGTCCATCCCAAACCTCATGTGTTTGCTACCACTGTTATTAGCATTATCACCACTATCGTAATGTCTATTTTTTTTCCATCTGAGGGCATACCATCTTCAGACTTCTAACATGCACTATAAGCTAAGGCCTGGGAGTTCTCCCTAGGATGAGAAGAAAGGCGACCTCATAAAAATATTCTAACCTTACAGAACTTCAGGGAGAGGTGGAGAAGCACAGATGGAGTAGTCAGAACAAGTGTAGGAGGTATTTGGGGGCCAGGAGTGCCTACTCCATCACTTGTACCCATCCCACCTTATCACCCACGTGTAACCCAAGAATGGCCTACCAAGACCAGCCAAACAAGATCACAGTCATGGTTCCAAAAGTCTGAGGCAGAGATGGCCCAGTGAAGAGGCCACACCAGTGTTTTCCTTACAAAAACAAAACTTCACTAAACTGAACTACAATTAAGTTACATTCTACCCTCAAAATAGATTCTGAGTCCTTCCAAAGTAGAATTGCTGGCCAACCCCAGATCCACCTATTTGGTTTGTGCATTAATCTGTCTGTATTTGCTCCAGTTTCTCCTCTGTAATTCAAATGCGTGCTATTTTGTACTCTCCTGTTTGGCAATCAGGGTTCTCCCGAGGCATTCGCTGGCCCAGGGGCCACAGGGAACAAGGGAAGTGGCGTAGGGGGAGGTTGTGGTTTTCCAACAACAGAAGACACTTTTCAAACTCGTAGCTGGCAGTATGTCCAGCCTCCTTCCACCTTGTTGTGGTGGCTGGAAGCCAGCTTTACAGATGGGCCAGGCTGGACACAGGTTGTCTGTACTCCCATTCATGCTGAAGTATGGCCCCTACACTGTCTACCCAGTGCCCCCTAACAGCCAAACCAACACAGGCGTGAACTAGGTTGGTGTCTGGAACATTGGGTTGGGTGCTGGTGAGGGTGACAACAAGAAATAGAAGTCCTATTTCCTGCTTCCACTGATGGCTAGTCTAGTGGGGAGATAAGGTTTAAAAGTTTATGGCTGGCCGGGTGCGGAGGCTCACCACTGTAATCCCAGCACTTTGGGAGGCTGAGGTGGGCGGATCACGAGGTCAAGAGATTGAGACCATCCTGGCCAGCACGGTGAAACCCCATCTCTACTAAAATACAAAAATTAGCTGGGCGTGGGGCTGCCTGTAGTCCCAGCTACTTGGGAGGCTGAGGCAAGAGAATCACTTGAACCTAGGAGGGAGAGGTTGCAGTGAGCCGAGCTTGCGCCACTATACTCTAGCCTGGCGACAGAGCGAGACTCCGTCTAAAAAAAAAATTTTTTTAAAAAGTTTATGGCTAGAGGACTTGTCTCCAAGGTACAGAAGCACCAATCAGAGAAGGGAGAGGTGAGGCTCAGCGTGAATCTCAGCCTCTGAGTCTCTCTTGTCTCTCTAGAATCTCTTTTGCTCTTAGGAAGAGAATCTGGGCTTCTGGGGGTCTGGTGGTCAAAAGAAGCAAGGAAGAGGCTGGGTGTGGTGGCACATGCCTATAATCTCACCACTTTGGGAGGCCAAGGCAGGAGGATCACTTGAGCTCAGGAGTTCCAGACCAGCCTGGGCAACACAGTGAGACCTTGTCTCTATAAAAAATAGAAAATTATAAAAAATTTTAAAAATTAGCCGGGCATGGTGCCATGTATTCATAGTCTCATAGTCTCAGCTACTCAGGAGGCTGAGGTGGGAGGATTGCTTGAGCTATATCATACCATTGCACTCCAGCCTAGGTGACAGAGCAAGACTCTGTCTCACTGAAGAAAAAAGAAAGAAGAAGAAGGAGAAGGAGGAGGAGGAGGAGGAGGAGGAAACAAGGGAGAGACTGATTAAGGAATAAGCAGTATTTCAATGTAAAAGTATCTACAAAGAAACTAGGATGTGTATTCTTATGTAATTGGCACATTGATCTATAAATATACATGGGGCCCTCTGGAATATATCATGCACCTGAGGAGCCAGGCATAAAGGGGTATCTCTATTGAACTGTCTTTGCTTCCTTTGAATATTTGTTTGGGCAAGAGTGCTAGTAAGAGTTTACAAAAG